GGTCACCATGGCCATTTGTCGATAGACTGCTCTTAACTGTCATCATCCTGGACCACTGAGACTTATTACCCACCCTTCCCTCCCCCCAGGCCCCTGATGGGGAGCCCTGCCACTGAGGCAGAGGCTGGGGGCCAGGAAGTGTTCCAGCATCCAGACTCAATCACACATTTAACTAGGGTCTTTAAATGTCCATTTGAAATTAGAGGATTGGGTTCAATTGCATCTAAGAGCAGAGAGAGACTATTGTCAGGTGTGGGGAAGACTCTGACTATCAGTCAGACACTGTGGGTCAGTGGGGCCTCAGTCTCTTCATCCATAAAATAGAGCTGATAGTTGCACCTACTTCATAAAGTAGTTACAAGGGTTGATTGAGGTAGTTCCTAGCAGACAGTAAGCACTCAAATGTTAGCCATTGCCCTCTTTGGAAATTGTAATTATTGCGGTGGGAAACCTAGTGCTTCACACAGTCGCTACTCAGTAAGTGCTGAATAAGGTCAATCAGGGTATTTGATCTCCCCCCACCAGAGGGTCTGCTGGGAGGAGCTGCCAGTTTTCTTACCAAGGGAGAGCTCCTCAGAGGTCTGTGAGCTTCCCAGTCACAGGCCAAGGGATACACACTCCACAAGGCCCTCATGTTATTTGCCAGAACTGGATTTTCCTCTTGTAAACAGCGCACGAAACAAGAATAGCATCCAGTAGGAACAAAACCGAATCTGGTAAAAAACCCCAGGATTCTGGGGGTGCAGTGGGCTGCGGTCACCCTGGTGATTCTAAGTAGCTATGGAGCAGCTCAGCTCCACGTCTTAGAGAAACGACCTTCCAGGTGTCGGTTCCTACTGGTGACAGACTAATTCTGTCCAGCCCATCTGTCTGCAGGGGCAGGTATACCCCGCCCTCTTAGTGGAGTTGCCCTGGGACTGGCATCCCCTCGTGAGCGGAGCCCATAGTCTCCCAGATCTATCTCAGTTGTACCTCTTCTGCTATTCTTTGCACTTGAATTCTTCTCAAAGCAGTTTTGCTTTAATTTAAGGGAACACACTGTCTGTAAATGCCACTAATACTCATAAAGGGCAGAACTTCGAGGTGCCGCTCATGTTTCCTAATACTAATGGACTTTAAAACACAATTCTTACAGTAAAACAGGGCTGGTCACCACCACCTGGGAGAGACTTTACTTCTTCACCCAAGGCGGGAATCTCATGTGTCAGCCCAGGGGAGCTGTGGCGGGAGGTTTGATCCAGGACCTGGACAACTGCTCCGTGATGGCAGTGGATTGTGAGGACCGACGCTACTGCTTCCAGATCACCACTCCCAACGGGAAATCGTATGTCATGTGGGTTTTATGTGGGTGGAGAACCAGTGTGGTGACCCCACCCCTGCCTGGGGCCTCCTGGCTCATTCCTCCGTGGGAGCGGCTGTTCTGGGCAGTGTGGACCTTTTGGGAGGGTGGTTTTGTGTCCTAAGCACATGACCCATATGGTATCCAGCCTGCCTTATGTAAGGAGTCCCAGTGAGGATCTGTCTGTGGCTTAGAGAAGAGATGACCTATGTTATCATGTAAGATAGTGATAAAGGTGGCTGTTTGTCAGCACAGGCTCTCAGAGAGAAGGCTGTGGCTACGCCTCGCCAGTCCCTAGACTAATTTGTTTGTATTGTGGTGGGGCAGAGACGAGGAGAGTCAGGAAGGAAGACCTGCCTGAGGAGTCGGTGTTTCCAGCTGAAATGGGAGATGTGAGCAGTACAGTCAGCTGCAGGAGTGTCTGTCACTCCTCAGCATGCTGTCCCCATACATCACGGGCCCAGAGAGCTCTTGCTTTCGAAATGGCAGCCTTGTAGTTCATAGTAGATCCCGTCCCAGTGGGAGGTGCTCCAGGTTCACCTGCCTGGGGCAGAGTGATGGCCTGTGCTTCAGTCAGAGCTGCTCTGCTGGCATTTGCTCTTGGCTGGGGTTCCGAGTTGAGGTTTTATTTGAACATTGGCATGTTTGGGAGGGGTGGTGGGGCAGTGTTGGTACAGTGTTGACTGTCTCTTCTCCCAGCCTGGCAGAGCATCTTCCTTTCTCCCAAGTGATGGGAAATAACCCTGGAATGAAGATGCCTGGACTCTAGTCATGGTCCCAGACAGTCACTTAACTGCTCTGGACCTCGGTTTCCTCAGATGTGAAATAGGGATAAGATCCATGTTCCCCACCACCCATAGATGAGATGGGGAACAAAGGAACTAGCAGACATGGAGTCCCATTAGAGTTGAGCCTTCACAAAGGGAGGGCAGTACTGTTTGTCTATATTCCCAGCCCTCCATCGGCAGATTTTCAGTCCTTGGGAAGGAGTAGAAGGGCTGCTAATTCCTTCTTTGGGTGAGGTTGGGAGGAGTGGCTGGGCCAGAGCCCTGGTTGCCTTGGATCACCGAAGCAGGGCCAACAGGACGGTCAGCCGTGTAAGAATCACAGACTTGGGCTAGTGGATCTGAGCCCAGCCGGCTCGTTTTATAGACAAGAAGGCCGAGGCCCAGGGACAGGGAGCGGTCGTTTGTCCAGATGACAGTGAATGAGCAGCAGAGCCAGACGCAGAACCCCACTCTCCTTCCCATTTTGTCGCCCTCCTGCGCCCTAG